ATTGGTCATAAAAGACACACTAGAAATGCCTCTTTTCAAATTTGTTTCTGCTATCAATAATTAGACTTAACAAACATGGGCCTCCTCAACACTTGAGAACATCGGTACCTTCGTTTTTTTCTACTTTCTGCCATAGAAACCATGCAGACTTCCCAGGAGCTCATCTCTGCATCCCCGTTCACCTTCCTGGAGTGAAGCATTAAGCGATAGAAATCCATGTCAACTATTAAAATACTGCAGTACTTCATGGGATTATTTAATAAAGCATCACTGAAGAAGTGCACACCCAAGCGGCTCTTTCTGTTAACAGGTGTTTTATTTGAAGACATGTGAGTCTGGAACAGCCACTCTTTGAGGCCCAAATGCAACTGCATGTAGTACAGTAAGAGTTTTATTACAGGACACTCTACAGACCTTGCATACAAAAACGTAAGCTTGTGAGTGTTGCGTATGCCATCTGACAAACTTCAAAGTGTTTTTTTTTTAAGTTGATATCGATTTTTTCCCCTGCAATGAAACTGCAGAAATTAATCCTAAAATGGTTCACGAAAAGTAATGTCACCTGGGAATTAATACATAACAGAGTTAATCAGAGCTGATAAAAAAATCAAATGTCAGATTCCACAAAAAAAACTCTTTGTAAAAACATACAATAAGAAATGTCCACAGTAACAGGTGTGTCCAAACCTGGTGTTCCTACAGATCAGTGCTCATCTCACTGCTACAGCTCTGTGTTCAAGAGTCAGTGTGCAGAGCCCGCGCCAAGACTGCAGGATCAGGACCAGCTGCAGGAGATGACTGAGCTGAGAGAGGAAACCTGTCTCACTTTCCACACTTAGGGGCGAAGGCAACTTCTCACCCAGCAGCTGTTGGGCCACCTCCTTTTTCTTGCCTTGATCCTACTCCTGGTGATATAACAGTATTTTCCAGCGTCTCCCGCACGGCACACGTGTCACGATTCCGGGAGATGTGATTCGGAGAACGTCGGAGGTTCAGAGGATGTAGCCCTGCAGAGCTCGGAGGCACACAACGGGTTAAATCACGTCAAGCGCGTCCTCGTT